GGACCGGAAAAAGCGTTTTTACATTTTCCATTATAGTTTAACACAAGTGAGAGATACATCGAAATAATCTAAAGCAAAAACGAAGGGAATTAAATGATCTTTCCAACAGCACCTTCGATTTTACGATCGGTCTTTATTTATGCCTTCTAGAGAGCAAAAACTGCAAATAGGTCCGATTTAGACCACTTTCCCCTAGACATAATTTCTTAATTCCTTAAATCGTCGCATATATTCAAGTTTCGAAGAAGTATCGTAAATAAATGATATTTGCACATTCTCCTGTTTCTCTTGTTTTGTTTTGATTTCTCGAAGGTCACTTCCTGTCAAGCATATGATTTTACTCAAGGTTTTACTATAACAGCAAAATTAAAAAATTTTTGTAATTATGTATTATCTAAATTTATATAACATTTTTTTCTCGGAATTGTCTTCTAAACAATTTGTTCGTTCTCATACGCGTTCTTAATTACTTTGTATATTAACACAAACATACAAAAATCGTAAAAAAAATTAAAAAAAAAAATACTTTTTTCAATTTAAAAAAACGTAATTAACAAATATACAAAACAAAAAATAATAAAACATGTTTGCATAAAACATATTTGCAATTGAAAGGGTTAAGAAGAAAAGAATTTTATTTTGAAAGAACAGCTAAACTCTTTTTAATTTCATTTTATGATATATTTAATATTTTAAATCTAATTAAGTGCAAAGTATACTGTGTGTGTATAAGTGTAATATTATATATACATATATCTATAATGTATATAAAATACTCCGAAATAAATTTGTCCATAAATTCTTGATGACCCAAACAATTATACAAAGTGTACAAAAAAACCATTTAGCATTTATATGGCACAGATATTTCCATACATATTTCATAATAAAAGACCTCTCTCTTTCTCTCTCTCTCTCAGTGGCAATCAGGTATATCAGTGTAATCACTAAGTAACATGTAGATTACTAATCGCTGATTAATGACAACTGACTGATTGCTGATGAAATCTTCTGTTATGAAATATGTATTGAAATTAAATGAGAACTTCAAAACGTGTGGTTTAAACATTGAGGTAAACATCGCATGCGATACGTAAAAACCAATCAATAAATCATTCGATGCTAATATACAAAAATGTTTATCTTAGAAACGGTTGAGCTTTCAACCTATGTTCACGAAGGCTTTTTTTATTGTGGTAGATACAACATGGTGTGTACTATCTACCACAAATGCTGAATAGTTTTTTTAAGACCGGAATCAGATCAGACTATGCATTGAAGATTGAGATTGAAGATTGAAATTTGATCAATGAGGACAAAGGAATTTTAACCCTTATTGTTTTGATTGGTCACAAATTTCAATCGTTCAATCTTCAATCTCAATCTTCAATGCATAGTCTGATTTCGGCCTAACATCCTGTATATCCAAATAAAATAAGAAAACTTTAATATAAATTTTAAAAATTTAACTAATACTTATAATTAACTAATACTTATAATTAACTAATACCTATAATTTAACTAATACTTATAATTAACTATGTATAATTTATTTGGAGTTATCTTTGAGTATTATTATTTTTGTAGTACATCTACATGAACGTATTTAAGAAATATAATTGTAAATTTTTTCAGTATTCTTTCCTAATAAGCTTTGTGTACTAAAATACATTCCTGAAAATAAGTAAATTATATTTAATGCCTTTAAACTATTCGGTTCGAAAATTAAAATATAAAATTCTGCAAAATTTTTAGTTCAGTCTTATAATATCGATTACTTAACATATCAACAAACATCATTATCTTTGATAAAAAAAATAAATTCATAAATTACCTACTAATAAAAGGGTATCTAAATTAATATGATACTACTATACAGAGTCAATCAGATAACACAAAGTATTTCGCTTCGAAACAAGATTATAGAAACATAACAGTACATAACAGTCAGCGTACACACATGCAATACGCCACGCATGTACACATTCACACATGCACAAAGCATATGTAAGGATATGACCGACCAATGTAACATAATCGATCTCGATAGGAAGACGCGAAAGTCGAGAACAATCATTTTCAACGAGAACAAGGACAAGGCGAGTATCGTATGGCGAAAAAGGAAAAAAGCGACCGAGAACTAAATGCGAGGACGTAACATTTGGCAGTAATCGTGACGATGGCTTACCGCTAATGCGTCTCATGGCGGCTCACGACGAGGCTCGCGCTCAAGATCCTTCGAGCTGTATACTGCGCCGTCGTAACACGAACGATAGATCCTCGCGCGCAACGTAAACAACATACCACGCGGATTGGGCTCCGATGTATCATCTACACCGTACACACGTCGTTCCCGTAGCGCGTCGAGGCGCTCGCGCCATTGCTCACGCGAATACCACTCTTCAGTGACCCCAGCCGAAATCGTCAGAAGCGTATATCAACGTTCCAACATTTCCAACGGTTTACACGACG